ACTCCTTTGTACATTTGACTAGAAGTACTGAATTTTGCAATTATTACTTAGCTCAAATCCCTACTGATTTCAACAAATACATGTACCAGCTAGGAAGGAACTTCACGATCGCTGCTCTTGCTAAGCAAATAATTGTAACAGACTCTTTCTGTTCCTCATCCTTACCACAACAGGCAGGCAGACAATGCTACAACATCGTGCCTGCTGGATTACCTGTAAGCAACTCTTCTGAGCAATCTGTTTCACCAATTATAAATCTTTGTTTCAGAAAGGACTGTTTTATTACCGTAAGTACACAGGGAACAGACTGACCTCAACCTGAAGCCAGGTGACAGCTGTTTCCAAAACTGTAATCTGTTTATTGACATGAAACAAGAAAAGGGATATGTGATTGCCAATTCCTACAGCAGCTCAGTGTAACACTTGTAACTTCCCTAGATTTGTATAGCTACAAGCCAGTTAGGTTTATTTTGTATGTAAATGATACTATGAAGTAGAGCAAGTAGGAATTCATTGAAGCGTACTATTATACGGCACAAGGCAAGCACTTCTAAAATCACTTCACACGCTTTTTATTTGGAGTCTCTGTCTTGCATTCCTTCTAGCAAGGAATCAAAAGAAGTTCAAAACCATTTAGCTGTGTAAGTTCCAGAAACACCACACACAAAATCATCAGGCACAGTGAATTTCAGCTGTTTTCTCATCTCTGACGTTATCAACAACACAGGAGTTATCTCACACGCTGGGGCAGCTGTGCAGATCAGAAAGATAACTTCCTAAATTTAACTATTCAATTGGTCAGATGACACGCAGAAGTCCCTGAACGACTGAATTGCTTCCACTGTGCTCTAGATGATTTTAAAATGACATAAGCATATTTTAACAGCATCAGAGACACAAGTTACCCCATGAACACAACAACAACTAGTTTCCTTCACATTTATTTTTGTCCTTGCCTTTCCCTCCCAGGTGCCTCCATATGCCCATTGACAACCCCATTGGGGAACACCCAGCACTTCCTTTGACTTCATCCAAGAACCATGCATGTATACTGAGTAATTAGTCGCCTGCTCCCAGGCACAGTCTGTACCACTGGAGATCCACCTGCTTTTCCCTGACTGGAGCCATTTCCTTTTGGCCTTTCTCTTCTAGCTAGAAGGAGCAATTTCCTAAAACTTACAGAAAATACAGGGAAAAAAAAAAAGAAATCAAAGCAACTATGAGAAGGTGTTGTTTCATGTTGAGTTGAGAGATGCCAGGGTACCCGTAGTTGAACAGACGCTGCAGTTCCCATGACACACTGGCATGTCTCTTTGCCAAGAGAAGGGGGGAATTTTCAGCCAAAGTAGGGGAACTGACGGGTCAGGAACTGCAGAGTTGTTTTAAACAAATCCTGGTGTAATCAGTAATGATGCTGCTTATTTTGAAAAGCAACATATGCATGATTGGACGGGGGTGTGTGGGGAAAACCTGCTCAGTTCTGCAGCCAAGTATTTCCCCTTGCTAAAGAGCACCTTAAAATATCCCAGCATGCGTACTCTCATGCTGGAAAGCAGTACTTGGCTTTGTTCTCTTCAGTACTTAGCTGCAAGCTGGAACTTCTCTAGGGCCTCTCCTCACATGTATAAAGAAAACTGAGTGCTTCTAAGTATTTAAACCTGCTTAAGGTCATATTCCCCCATTTGTTTAGAGACCTTGGTATTTGGCTCTAAATATTTGATTGACTTGAGAAAGCAAAAATATAAACAATTTCTGATAGTTTTATATTCAGATTGAGGCCAACCTGCAATGAGTACCTGAGGCAGCTGTATTACAAAGAAGTAACTAAACAAGGTTTACCACTTCTCCTACTTTAAGATCACATTCCCTTAGGTGAAAGACAACTGAATGCATGTTTTATATCACTCATGTCAATGTTATTGAGATGAAGAGAGATTTATATAAATAGCTACTTGAAAAATATTGTATTTGAATTTAGAGCTTAGTCTCTAATTGAGTCAATAGCCCAACACTTTGTTGAACAGCCCAACTTTCTTGGAGCAGCACATAACGCCAATATTATGCATGCAGACAGAAATGATTACTTACTATGCCCTATCAACTGTGTTTAAAACAAAGAAGAATAAACAACTACCACCCACTGGTTGTCATGCTGGCTTCTGCATGGCCTTTCTTGGACATGCAAACTGCTGAACAGACATTTCGCTGTTGTATGCAATCTGTATAGATAGGCCTGTAAAGCTAGTCTGACCACAAGAGATTAATAGCTTTAGCCAAATAATGCGGTAACCATGCGAACGATGAGCTGTTCTAGCATGTTTGCAAGCCTCTCGGCAAGGTTCAACAGGCTGCTATCTGCATCTTGTTGCCAGGAGACACAACATCGCCCAGGAACATAAGGGAAGCCAGGTTGCAGTGACCACCAGTGAACTCCAAGAGTCACACTGAGTCCAAGCAGTCCACATCAAAAGGTTTAGCAGGTTCTTCTGATACAAGATGATGTTGCATAAGAAGAAACTGGGGACAATACATAGTAAAACATTTACTACACACTTCAAAACCTAATTCAAAACCATGTTAAGTCTAAGTTTTAATGCGTACCAGATTCAGTGTTTGAAACCAGAAGCTCTAGTCTTAAAAAATGTTTCACTCTTAGGTTCTCACTGATACTTATCCACAAACATGAAGCTTTTCCAAGGGATGAAACACATACGAGAGTTACAGAACTTGCCAATTTGTCGTTCCATGGTAAGTGGATATTATAAAGTTACAACAGTCATCCAACCTTGCACTGAGGCATGACTTCGTAGCGCTGACTGACAAAAAGATCTTCACGGTGTCTTTTAAGAGAAGGAAGAAGAGTACTGACTATAGAAGTAGCAACTTGAAACAGAATTTAGTTAGAATATACTGGTGTTTAAAATAATTTTAGTCTCAGTAGACTACTTTTACCTGAAGAAAACATTAGGCAGACACTCACTGGGTAGCCAGTTCAAATCAGCGAGATGAAGTCTAGTTTGTATTGAAAGAATCTGCCTCCACTTCGACAGCAGTTTCAGGCTGACTGCAGAACCACCGGCAGAGCTCTGACCCAGCACACCTGGGTTTTCCGAGAGCACGTTGCTGCTCTGACTTCATGCACGGGAACAGAACGTCATGTGTCTGCCAACACACCCCAGAAGTTTCTTCCCAACTGGTTCAGACAGACAGAAACTCTGTGTACCGAGAGACCAAAATACTCACCAGACTGGAAACCTGCAAAGTAAGGGTAAAGGCGGACAATGCTGTTCAGCCAACTCTACAGGCTGGAGATGACTAAGCAGTTATGGAGTGTTGTTTCTTTTAAAATTAATCATTCTTAACTCCATCATTTAGAACATGTAGATCAGGTGTGTAGCGATGGAGTCTGTGATACAGGCCTCAAAAAGAAAACTTTTTGCTCCTTTGCACAGAGCTCCAATTTAATTTGCATAGACTTGTCTTATTTCTACATCTGCTGTTTTATTTTCAGAAATCATTTTAAATACTTGGGAAAATGGATACTTCTCTGTTGTAAAATATAGTACATTTTATCTGCTATGCAGTTACAAGATTTATATTTTTTTTAAACAAACTGGCCTATTTTTTCAAAACAATTCTATAAAATATGATTATTCCCTATTACATATAATTCTTATTTCCTACTTCACTTTCATTTTTAGTGTGGGGTATCTATATTCTGGTATTGTCTTCAGTGAAAAGGATGAATCTGTTGGCTGAGCCTGAGTTTTAGTGCCTAATCCAACATCCAGTTAGGTGAAAGGAAAGACTCACACTGACTTCAAGCATTAGATTGGGTCTCTGGTGCCTGATGAGAGATCTCAGCATAGTAAATGAAAACTAAAACATTATGGAAGAAGGGATATGCTTTTTTCAGGAAGTGGAAGGAAGAAGAGGCAGTGAGAACAAATCCACGAAGAACCAGGTGGCAAAGGCAGCGTGAAGTTTTTACTACACTATAGAAGTGTCGCTTTGAACTGACTAGGACTGGAATGAGTTGCACCAGGTTTACAGATTATGGCAGGGCAGATAAGATATGAGAAATTTGCACTGTATGCCTCCTCCGAAACAAAAGAGCAGTCTACACCCTGCACTCATAAGAACACAGACTATATAGATCTGATGAACTTGTAAACAGCAGCACTCCCCACTACTATTCAAAATGGAACCTGCCTTATAAAAGTTGAAGAAGTTTTGTTTTAAATCTCAGGGTGCCGGACCAAGCCTAAATTGATAACATAACCGGGGGAACTTCAAAGCCGATTTCTAATTTCAGAAAATGAGTAGCTAAACACTACTATGTGTAGAGGAAACAATAACTTCTAGTAAATGGTTTAACATTTTTAGATGACAACTTAAATAGATGATCAGCATTTCTGAACGTATGGTTCAGGTTGGTCATAGTGAATTAGCCTGAAACATCACCCTGTATTATCACCAAATGAAATTTCCAGTCAGGAGACTTAACAGAGCACCTATCTGATTTTTGTTCCGTACAGTGTAATCATGAAAACTGTGTGTGGAGTGCATAGGGTCAACCTAGATTCACAGTGACAGAAAGCAACGGCTGTATCATTCCTGTTTCAATCATGGTAAGGCCTCATTCATGCTGTCACTTTTTTTTAATACAGAGAAAAGACTAATTAGGAATGTCAAGAACAAGTAAAACGTTACTCAATGGTCTCTGTCAACTCTCAATTTCTACAGAACCGAAGTTTTCTTATTTCACACACTTCAAAGTCCTTCAGCTTCAAAGAATACTTTCCAGACAATAAATAGTAGTTTTAATAGGTGTGCGAGAATTTTCTGTTGTGGCAAACTTGTTAGGTAACATCATCACAGGGTTTGCAAAACACTTGTATACAAAACATCAGGAAAAAAGAATGCATATTCTGTTATATTTCTGCACTGCTGCTCAGTTAAGCACCCTTGCTAGTGAGGGAGTAAATGCAGTTACCTACCGATATTTCACTTTGATCCTATCATTGTCAGGGTTGCAGTAGAGTCTCTCCAGATGCTCCTGGGAATCATTGGTCACACTTTGCCAGCTCTGGGTTGCTGTCCTTCTCACTTGCCAATGATAAGGCAAGACTGTGTGATGTTTGCGACAATCCCTGCCATAAACACAAGTGCCCTGGAGAAAATCCACACAGATTTCTCTTCCGTCTTCCTGATGGGTGTGATATTGCAGCTGGTTCAAGAGCTCAAATACCAGATCAAGAGAAGCTTCTTCACTTTTATCCTGGAATATCCCGGCACTGAATTTATTGCTTATGTTCAAATTGTATTGCATTGGACAGCTATTCTCTTGGAATAAGCCAGATGTGTAGTTTTCCAGAATCTTGTCTGGGAACAAAGGACAAGCTGCACCATCGCTAGAAGCTGGGTGCAAAGGATGATCCTGGAATGAATCATTACTGTTAGCAGCAGCAGTTCCAGGAGTAGTTTCTGGTGAGAAGCCTTGCTCTCCTGACTGGACATCCTGCTCAGGATGTCCAGAAGGAGCTACTGGCAGTTGATCCTGCACATCTGGAGCTGCTGGCATCAACGCAGTCACATTACTTTCTGGTTGGGAGCAAGAAGTACTGAGTTCCAGGGTCTTTTTCACAGCAGGTTCACACAAATCACTATGACCACCACCTTGGCCTCGGGGCACGAAGACCCTATCCAAGGTCCCAGCTCCCAGCAAACTGGTAAAGATTGGCCGCAAAGCCCGGAGAGTTTCTGTGTCCAGTCTCTTCTGCACTTGCTGTTTCTTCTTGAAGCAAGGCTTCACTGGTGGTATCTTTTCAGACAGTCTTATCTGAGGAGGAAAGTCCTCTGAAGGAGGGCACTTCATTCCTGGGCAGTGAGCCTGCTGCACAACACACGCTGGCTTTGGTTCGGTGTCCATCAGACACAGACTCTGCTCTCTCCAAATCACTTTCAAATGTCCCAGAGCCTCACAAGAATCAATCTAGGGCAGAAAGGAAAACAAGACAGTTAATCTCTCTAATTGCTCATGGTTGACACGAACAAGATCACCCCTGGAGAGGATTTCGAGCCAGCAACACCAAACTCCTCCCCTCTCTGTGACTGTGGGTAGCCCCTAGGCACGTAAAGCATGAAACCAGCTAAACTCAAGCTAATTAATCCCAAACACACACTCATCGTCTTCTCGCACATGAAATCTCAGAGACACTCAGGCACGCACACACAGTCCCGGGGGGGGGGCAGGAAAGGGGGATGGTCTGATGCCCTCCTCCTTTTGATGATGTTTATTATTAATCAGCACTTCAGTTCATTATATTCCACAAAAGCGAACACCGCATTGTTCATTTTTATGCCTCCCTCACACACAGACCTGAGAACAGAAGTATTAGCAGACGTACAGCCCTGAACGTTCCCACCACGCTTTAAACATTCATGCACAACTTCTTCTTCTACCAGATAAGCGGGCAGATGTACACATTCCCATTCCATTCAGACATATCTTCCCTCCCATGATCTCACGCAGCCACCCAGCAGCATCGTCAGAGATCCGCTGGCTTCGCTTAAACAAACATCGAACTTCATGCTGACTTCAACAGGGGCCAGGACTTAATGCATGGGTTTTTTTAGACACAGGAATTCAAGTGCTTACACCCTGTTCCTCCTGCTACGCATCTGACACTGACAGTCTCATACATGCCCAGACACTCCCCCTTCACACACAGGCGTTCGCACAAGCCCACACACTCTCACACTGACTCAGATGCACAGGCTGCACTCCCTCACCCTGCGGTGACACACCAAGCTCATTTGTCTCTTGCTAGGCTAGTCAACAAGAGTTAAAACCCGGCAGCGAAGAAAACAAAGGGGTGCTAGTTACTCGGGAACAGGGGAAAAAAACCCAACAACAATTATTTGTAAGATGAAAAATAATTTTTCTCTAAAAGTACAAAAAAATAATGTCTTGTACGTCACCAGAAAGCCAGCTCTACACCTTTTAATCAGGAATCTTGTAATATTTGATTACATTTAATTAAACCCTCTTCAGTCTCCTCGCACGTAGCCTCAAAGCTTAGAGTGGAGCACATACAGGATTATTTCCTGGATAAATGCATTCCAAGCAAAGTAACTTCTCATTACAAAGCAAAATCCCAGAAAACAGATAAAATTTGGCAGTAATTTCTTACTACTGACGATTTGCTCTAGAAAATTTCTGACTCTTCCTTATTTTGGAACATTCATTTACAAGGCTCTTGCATTAGCCTGGGAAACAGCGCGTCAGGAAAAAGAAAATAAGTTGTACCTCTCCAGTTTCCCATTTTTAGATTAAATATAAAGCAACCAGTATATCTGTTTGCCAATTAAAACAAACTCCAAAATTATCGGTGTCTCTGTTATTCTTCCACAGACATACCAGGCAATTCTCTTTCTAAACCACCAAGGGTACCTTAAAACTTCAAGTAACTTCAAAGATTTAAGAATCCTCAACTCCAAAAGGGATGCTTCACTTCATTGTACCCAGGTTTAGGAGCCCCTGCGATATGCAAGAGGATCTCCCAAGGTTCGAAGGGTCCTGCTGTGCCGAGGAGCTAAGTCAGTGACTTCTGGTCATTTTGAGCAGTATCTTTAATGCTATTTCAATATCGTTATTGCTCGCTTGATTATCATTTAACTTTTGCTGCTATTTTTAAAGTACCATATGGAGTCAAGTCTCCTGACAACTCTCAACATAGAAAGCAGTGGAAATTAAGATGATCAGAATTTGTTGGCACTTCTGTTTCAGCATTTTAACATCCCAAATCAGTCGCTGTTTTTTTGAAAGACCACTAACAATCACCAAGAGCAATGCTATATTTGCACAATTTCAACACAGGAAGATCTCTCGGGAGGGGATTTCAGTCCCTAAGTACTAACCATCTCACGCGAACCACACCTCCTTCTCCTTTGCTGAAGAAAGGAAGTCTAGTGGTCTTACAATAAATTAGCAAAATAAAATAAAAGCAACAGCCCGAAGACAAAACCTAACACAACAACAAGAGGAAGCAAACCCAGACGGACAGACTGCCTCGCAACTTTCCGCAGGGTTGAAGACGCGTCCGAGCAGGCAGGTTCCCCCCGCTGAAACCTACCGGCTTTTGCTCCCCTCCAGCGAGATTCCTGCGATTTGACCCAATTTAAGGCCACCTTCAAAACCAGATTAGCCTTCTGGTGGGGGGGGAAGAAAAAAAAAAAAAACATTCAGTGACTGCTGCAGCCAGGCACTCGCACGCCAGTATTTCCACCTTAAAAATGCCCAAACGTCTGCGTCCCAAGTCGCACGTCCCGAGCTGTTTCTCCAGTTGCCTCCGGGGTTACCAAGAGACAGCGGGGAGGGGAGGCGGGAGGGGAGGCAGGCCGGGAGCG